CAAACAACGCTGACCTCTGCAAGGCCGGCGCAGCTTCAGTTCCTCTAAAGACCTTTGGATGGTTCATCCATTAAACATCAGAGCGTTTAAACTTCAACATATGATGTGATCAGGGGATTGTTTCTGACGTCGAAGCTGCTTTTAAACAAATGGCCAGCTGCTTGTTTCCCAGATCACCGATAGTGTGCTCAGTTAATCACAATCGATGTCTTTATGTGATATACAATAACAAATGTTGGCGAAGCGACAGATAATTTCAATTGGAAGTGAAAAAAAAAGAATACAAATAGTTCAAAAATGACTACAAAAAGAGAGGACAAAGAACCTCAGACAAGAAAATATACAAAAATACCAAAACAATTGTTACGAGACACAAAAAACTACAAGCAAACAGCAATAAAATGAAAACAGCAATAAAATGGACACAAAACGAGCAAAAAGAGAGAAAAATAACCAAAAAAGACAACATACTGAGAAGTGGTAAAAATCGATCAAATGATCACAAAGAGACACAAATCAAACACAAATGTTGACCAAAAGAACCACAAATAGACTCACAAGAACTACAAAAGTGCTCAACAACCTGTTGTCCACATGCTCACAGTCCCTTTATAACTGGACACTGATACACATTTATTTGACTGTTATCTTTCTAAAAACGCTGCATTGTGGCTGAACATTTCTCTGTATATTGTTGCACTTTTTGTATCAGTTTCTTAAACTCAGGCCAGTCTGGACCCGTCCTCTCCGCTGAGTCTGATCCCGAAGCGAAGGAGTGCTCTGACGCAGAGGAGAAGGCTGCTCGGACTTGATTCAAATGAGAAATAAACCTGCGAGAATGAAATACTGTGTCAGGGTGTGATTAGTTTGTGTATTCCCTGATTTTGTATAGTCATTCCTCAAATGTGTCAGCACACGCAGCTCGGGGATAAAGTAACGCATCACACGGGCAAAGCAGAAATAATAGCTTGAAGGCATTAATTAAAACCTGTGAAAGCCAAAGTTCACAAACGATCAGACGAGGTAATCAGGGAAGAGCAGAGGGAGAACGTTCTCATGAGGCATTAAAACTTTGGATGAAGAACATATCTGATCCTCAGGCATAATTTATTATCAGTATAAATAGTCTGAATTCATCGTGTGGAGCTCTAGGCCTCTCTGTGTGTGGAGAATTGTTCAAAAGCAGCCAAAGGAGCCCTAAGATTTGCAGCAAACGTCTCACATGACGATGCCCCTGCATGTGTTGCTATGGGAACCAGGGTGGCATGTGATGTGTGTTATCCAGGGGCTGCGGTCTCAAGACACACACACACACACACACACACACACACACACACACACACACACACACACACACACACACACACACACACACACACACACACACACACACACACACACACTTAGGGCTTTAACACTTTCCCCTCCTCCAGCCTGAGTCCTGTTAACAATGAAAATGGGGGTTTTCTGTGTAAAAAAACATCCCTTGTTTACTGGCCATGTGATCCGTCTCCACATGTTTCTGGTGCCGTTCTCCTCTCTCCATTACCTCTGCCCAGGTGTGCTAAATTTCTCTAACGTGTTGCACAATTTAGAGCACCTGGAATCAAAACGGCATGAAGGCTTCGGTGCCAGCAGGGAGAGTGGATCTTGTGCAGAGCGTTTGAAGGTGTCTTCTGTGCGGTTTGGTCAGTAGTGAAGTAACAGAGTGAGCAAAAAATACTTTATTTATCCCAGGGGAAATTGGGTCTCATGCTCCATTTTAGAATATTTGTATTTACATGTAAGAAGTTAAAGAATAATGTGCATAAACAGAAAACAAATATATTTATATAGACAAAATACAATAAAAGGAAGAAAATATAATTTAAATAGGTAAACATAAGAAGTTTGAGTAAAAATGTGCACTAAAAATTAAATGCAATAACAAAAAGTGTATACACATAGCATTGTCATTAGTAAAAAATGTGCACATTGCCCCGAATATAACAACAATTCATGTAGTGCTGACAGTCACCTCACCAACTCTTATAATACATCTTTAAATCCAGAAGTATTTGCATTCAGAAAAGCTGAGATCTTGATATCCCAAGATTGAATAAAGTCTAAACAAAATGAAGGCAGGTTAGGACAAGATCTAACCCTGTTATTTCTTTCCTTCCTTCTCCATTGTGCATGAGCCCCCTCTCCTCTGATCCCCTGGAGCAGTGGAGCGACAACATGTGCATTAAAAGGAAGAAAATATAATTAAAATAGGTGTATAAACATGAGAAGTTAAAGTAAAAAAGTGCAAACAAAATAAAATAAAAAATTCAACAACACAGGATGGGTGCCGAGCCCGGGCCCCGGGGCTGAATTATTAAAGACCGTGGTAGCGTTAAGCTCCGATGTTAGCGGTCTTTTTATCGGTACTACTGGAGACATGTACAAAATATATGTCATGTGTATTATTGCTACACAAACATTATATTGCAGTTTTAGTGTCGCCAACTCCGTTTCTAACATGCAAAAAGACTGCAAAATGCTTCTATGATTATTTTTAGTATTTTCTATCTCTCTCCCGGGGGCAGTTTACACACACGCAGCTGCTACATGCAACACACACACACACACACACACACACACACACACGCGGAGGAGATGGCGGAGAGAACCCGCTCCGAGGTGTGGTTAAACTTTACCCATCTCGGTGCTCGTTGCCTAAAGCGCAATAAGAGTTTAGCATGTAAGGGCGGTAACACGAGCAATTTGTCTAAACATTTAGCAAAAGTGCACCACATTCAGACAGAGAAATGCACCGGGTTCGACTTTCTTTCTAGGAGCTCTGTAGCCCCCTCCACGAGTAACGTTTCCCCGTCAGGTATCATGTATGGTAGCAGCAACACATGGAGTTAACTCAATTATTCAAACATGGGGTAATGATTAGAGGTAACAGAGTTATTTATTTTTTTAAAGTTTCAGCTATTCTGTTTACAGTTCTGTCATCAGATTATTTAATACGATTTGTTAAAACGTTGTTTTTCTTTTGATGTGAAATATTATGTATTTAATTTAAATAAAAAGCAATGTTAGTTTTGTTCACAATTTGTTTAGTTAGTTTACCTTATTTTTTTCTCCAAAAGAACCGATAAGAGTACCGTTAAAAGACCGGACCGATAAGCGGTATCGATAAAGTACCGTTAAAACCTTAACGATCCCTAGTATTGTTCAGGGCTCGACATTAAGGACTGCCCGATGGCCAGGGGCCATCTAGTATTTAGCTCGGGCCATGAAGCCTCACCTGCTGGTTGCCCGATCGGGCAATCTATTATACCAGTATCATGCAGCTCGCGGATCCAGTAATGAGTGACCCGACAGTAAAACTAAACATATCTTTAACTAGTTTAGGTAGTTTGAGAGGTAATTAAAATAGCTACGTGTGATATTCGAAGTGTGTGTTTTGTTCCGCTCACCGCTGCATGTGATCATGCAGAGCTGCGTGTCGACTCGTCAGCAGCAGCTGATCTCTCTCTCCCGTCAGATTAGACTTCACTCGCGTTTATGTCCATATCGATCAGGTCCAGCTAGTTTTAGTTAATGAAATGACTACCTGCTTATTAAAAGACACCGTGACCTAAACAATAAGTGTCGCTATGCAACTGGGTGAGGCCACAAAGTATAGCGCAGCATTATGCATTTGTTTACATGCACACCGGAACCCCGAGGCATTAGCAACAGATCAACGCACAATCAACCCATACAGCACATCTCTTTCTCCACATTAAGTGTTAGACATTAGAATTGACTACTCTTGTCTGTCACATAAGTGGCGCAACTGAAGCGGTATTGCGCTAATAGGGAAATCATTTTGACCGAAGAGATTTAGATTTGCTTGCTAACGGGAACTCTGACGTCGCCATTGTGCGTGCTTCGCGGATGCACTCGGCTGCTCGGGTCTGCTCGGTCAGCTTCTGGATGAGGAGTCATTCCTTCGACCAACTTACATTAGATAACATTGCAAACATTTTTAACAGGGGCCATAATAGCGTAAATAATGTTTGTTTTGGCAGTTACAACTGAATGTAATGTTTCTACTTTTTACATCTGGGAAGGCATTTGCCTTCATCAGATGGAAAGTGTCTTGACCAACAACTTCATATTTCTTATAGCTATGCAGGGCATGCAAGCGAGCAAACACAAACAAGTGAAATGAAGAATACAATTGAAATTGTAATATTGTGGTGGTTCATCTTATAATTCAGTCTANCTGCTGCTCGGGTCTGCTCGGTCAGCTTCCGGATGAGGAAGCATTCATTCGACCAACTTACAGTAGATAACATTACAACATTTTTTAACAGGAGCCATAATAGTTTAAATAATGTTTGTTTTGGCAGTTATAAATGCATGTAATGTTTTCTACTTTTTTACATCTGGGAAGGCATTTGCCTTCATCAGATGGAAACAACAACCAACAACTTAAGTATTTATTATAGCTATGCAGGGCATGCAAGCGAGCAAACACAAACAAGTGGAATGAAGAATACAATTGAAATTGTAATATTGTGGTGGTTCATCTTATAATTCAGTTTATAGAATGCACCAGACAGCATCTAAGACCTGCAAAAATCTAAATGTTCTAGGGGGAGGCCCCCCAAACCCTTCGTGCGTCATTTCGTCCGCGCGCATTTTTCAGGGCAATCTCTATTGGGCTCAGGGCCATCTGTAAATTAGCTTAGATGGCCCACAGGGCCATCTGCCAAAATCCTTAATGTCATGCACTGATTGTTATTAGTACACATTGTGGATCTTTAAATCATGCATTCAGAAAGGCTGAGACATTTCACAAGATTGAACAAAGTCTAAACAAAATGAGGGCAGGTTTAATTTAAGACCATATCTAACCCTGTTTTTATTACCTTCCTTGTCCATATAAAGTTGTGCATGACCCCCCTCTCCTCTGATCCCCAGACTGGAGCAGTGGAGCGGCTCCTCGGCCTATGACAGCCGGAGGGGGCGGGTCCAGGGCGGGCAGCAAGTGTCTCTGGGCCCGGGAGGCTGATATCCCTCTGTGGAAACTTTGAGGAGTTTCTTGTGAGGACCGGAGGAGGAGAGAGGAGAGGAAACACTGTGGATGTAACAGATCACTTTGGTGCATTTGTGAAAAAAACCTCCAACATGGACAACGAAACCACCATCGACCCGAGTTGCCTGCAGAAGCCTCCTCTCGCCATCGACGTCATCCTCAGTGAGTAAACTCTGATTAAAGACCTGCATCCGTATTATTGATCATTTACTGAAGCCTTTGTGGAGTTTGAAGTGGGAACAGCGGAGAAAAAGAGGTTAAACTGGTGGTGTGGAGGGGATTAAATCACGCTTCAAGGATTCCTAGAAGTCCCTGAATTTCACTTTGCAGGACGGTGGTTTTCAGGGCCGGAATAATAATGTATTTTGAGGGGGGTCGAGCCCCAAACCCCCAATATAAACACTTACATTTATTTTTAAATCAATGTTAGTTTACACAATGTCTCTCAGAACCAATGAGATGCGTTCATCTGCTGCTAGTTGTTAACTTTGTTTTTGATTCATTATTTGCTTTTACTTTTTACAAGGGTTGTTTTTGGATTACATTTTTTATTCGGTACATGTTTTAAATCTAAAAAAGTGCCGATTTGTGGAGTGCAGATCTACTGAAGACAGCAAAGACAATCCCATGATTAACATTAAACAAATGTTCATTTATGTTCAGCCATTCTTATTTATTAACTCTTGAATTTTATCCAATGCAAGAAAATAAACCATAGCATTTTGTATTTTTCGAAAAACAATGTTACTTTACACAATATGCCTCAGAACCAAGGAGATGCATCTAAACACTGCTAGTTGTCAACTTAAACTTTTTATTTTTGATTCATAAGTTGCTTTTACTTTTTATAAGGTTTGTTTTAGATTGCCTGTGTGAATTTTTTTATTTGGTACATGATTAAATCTGAAATAAATGCAGATTTGTGGAGTGCAGATCTACTAAAGAACACTAAGACAATCCCATGATTAACAGTATTAAACAAATGTTCATTTAAATTCAGCAATTCTTATTTATTAAGTGTTGAATAATTATGTATTTTGAGGGGGGTCGAGCCCCAACTTCCAATATAAACACTTATATTTATTTCAAATCAATGTTAGTTTACACAATATGTCTCAGAAACAAGGAGATGCATCTAAATCTTGCTAGTTGCCGCCGTTAAAACTTAAAAGTTACATTTTAAAAGATTAGTTTTTCGATTGCCTGTGCAAACTTTTTCTTGATACTTTTCCCTTAATTTAAAAGGTGCCCTGCAGACAGAGTGAACATCTACTAAAGCCAACAAGACACCAGACAATCCCAAGATTAACATAATGAAACAAACGTTCATTTAAATTCAGCAGTTCTTTTTTATTAAGGGTTGTATTTTATCCAATGCAAGAAAATCAACCGTATATAGACTTTTTGTATCGTCCAATGGCTGCCATGCTCTCTAAATATCGGCAATGGCAATTAAAAAACACACTCCTTCAAACTTTATGCAGCATAAAATGGATATACTAAATTACAAGTACCTCAACATTTGACATAGTCAGCCTACTTTCTTGAGTAAATATACTTATTCCCATCCCACGTCTGCAGTGAACAACACATTAACGCAACGTGTTCAGAGCTCAGTGTGTTTACAACTTCCACAATTTATCAGATAATCCGCTAATCCATTCAACCCGGGTGGCGGTGTGAATTCAGGTTTTATAGGCTTTCTGACTTATCCGTTACACTCACTGCTCAGAAAACCCTGAGGTTTTAACATCCTGTAGAGCACATGTGTCAAACTCAAGGCCCGGGGGCCAAATCAGGCCCTTGGTGGATTTAATTTCGGCCCGCAGGATAATTTCTAATTCCTATTAGATCTGGCCCGCCGGTATATTGCACGCACACCTTCACTCCATCCTGAGGGTCTCCTCAGCTCAGAGCCTGAGCCCAAACATTGTTGACCTTGCACCCAAGATGAGATGCCAAGAAGTATCTGGCTTGAACTAGCATCACAGAGCAGCAACCTGAGTTTACATGTTTCCTTCTGCACTTTTTTTTCTTTGCGACAACAGGGCAGGTTTGCTTTTTCTTTGAGGGAAATAGTTTTGTTGAAGCTGTTGTTGGCCTGTGGGAAAATGTAATCATAAGAAATGACTCTGGAAAAGCTGCAGATAGAGCCATAAGAAATGAATGCAACTGATTATTTAATGTTGTTTTTATAGGCAATAATTTAAGCTGTGTTAGTTCCAGGTTTAATCTGTGCAATAAGTTCATTTCAATAAGTTTTGCAATAAACATTGAACCAGTCCGGCCCTCGACTAGTACCCATTTTTTAATGTTGGCCCACTGTGTATTTGAGACCCCTGCTGTAGGGAGAAAATCCAGTGAAATAGAGCTCATTATTAATGACTTAAATGCAATAAGTCACTTAGTGAATGTGTTTTGTGTGAACTTACAATGAAAGGGAGACTAATAAATGCTTTTTGAGAATGGTGATTCCTCCACAGTAACGTTTAAATACATTTTAATCAAATTGCACTCTTACATTGTTGTTTCCTAGCTTCATAAATTGACGTTGTGTGCATTATTTAATTATTTTTATGTTGCCTTTTTCTTTTTGATGCTGTACTTCATGACTAAGAGTGACCGTTCTCATTCTCAACATCTACCACTCATTTGTACAGACGGACTACTCATTATGTGTAATCAAAGCACCGGATATATGCAGATATTATTTTATACAGTACATAATGACATGTATATCAGCCAGTAGATAAGAAACTAAAATGCTATGGGTAATTTAAGAATATGGTCCACCACAAACGTATATTTAATATATATGTCAGAATAGATTCTTGTTTAAAATGTCAATTATTTTGTGTTTTGCACGCGAAAAAGGTTGATGTATTATTATAGGATTACCTAAAATAGATATTGGTAGTACTCCAAAAACACATTGCATTGTTTGGGCTTTAAATAAAGTCTCACAAGTAACATCTGGACCAGTTTAGTCAGTGAACAAAACCATCTTAAGTCTCTTTATTGCACAAAGATGTTTACGAATAGCACCACTGAAGTTTTACTCAGTAGTTTAAATAGATGAATTAGAATAATGAGACAGCAGAGTACAGAAACAATTACCAAAGTATGCTGTGGATTAAAAAGCAACAAATGCAACAGAGGGCCAGCTATAGGGAGATGAATGTTTCTGTGTTTGCTGATTATCTCCTGATGACTTTGGATACCAGAGAATAAATGACGCATTTCGGGAAAAAACGGACAATTTACTGTCAGCATGTTGAAGCACTTTACTCTCCCCTTCCTCCCACAGTTTCATTACTCTCTCTTTCCTGCTGATTCCTGGAAAGGACACCTTGTTACTTCCCATCAGTGTGAATAATACTACCTGCGTGCTTTGATCATTTTACGACTTCTGCAGAATCTTGAAAAATAGCGCCCTTTCCATCTTTGTCTTTGCCGGGTCTGTTTGTTCGCCAGGCTGGGGAATAAATAATCTTGTGTTTTGATGAAAGCTCAAAAAGCCTGTGTTGCATACGGCGTTATGAGAATCAAGACAAGCAAATGCAGGAAGCAGAAGACTTCACTCAGTCAACTAGCTTCTCTATTGCAACCAACATATGCATTTGATCTTCATCTGTGGTTTCACTTCAATATTTACTATAAGAAACAATCCCTCAACATCTGGCTCTCTTTGTTATTGATCAAGTAACAATTTATGATATATTAGAGGATTTAAAGGTCCCATGTCATGCTTTTCTGGTTGTTACCCGTCCCCTTGTGTGTTCTGAAGGTTTTTCTGCATGTAAACGGTCTGCAGAGTCACAAACCCTCAAAGTACACCCTGTAGGGAGTCAAACTCTAACACAGAGAAGACCAGTCTATGCTGCCCCAGAACGCCTCGTTGGACATTCCCCATAGTGACGTATTTTGGGTATAGTGACCTGTCCGCGGGAGCTCCAACAAGCCGTTTAGGACAGAGAGTGAATACACATACTATACAGAGATGCTGTATGAGAAACCAATGAGAGTTTGGAACATTGAACAATATAAATCTATTCTAGTAGACCTCAACAATGGAATTATGATCAGTAGACATGGCCATGACATGGGACCTTTCAATAATTGATGCATAATGTGTTTATCCCTTCAATATATATCTGCTAATACAGGAACTTATTTTATATTTCAATATATAAATATTAATTTTAGCTAATAATAATAATAATAATAATTGATACATTATTTATTGATTATAGTTTATTAATCTGAAATCCAACATCCAAGTACCTTGTTTTTAAGTACCTGAGTAAATGTACTTAAAACTAATGACATGCATCATCCTTAGATTTGAAATGTAAGTAATTTAGAAAGTGCTACCATGCTAACACGCTAATCTAAGATGCTGAACATGGTAATATTATACCTATAAAATTAGATTTTCTCTATTTTCTTTACCCTACTTGTTATTCTCTGGCAGTCATTCATTCCTCCTGCCTGTATAAACATTTCAAGGCTAATATAATTACCCATTACCTTCATAAAGATCTCATCAATCTCAATCTCCTGTGCAGAATCCCAGCTCACGTCTGACAGCAGATCATTCATTGTAACTTCTCTTCTGTCTCTTCCAGAGTTGGACATTTTCGGCATCGTCCTCTACTCTATACTCACCTTCATGGCCGCCGTGTCCATGCTGGTCTTCATGGAGGAGTGTGTGTACATCTATAGGAAAGTGCCCAACAACAAGAAAAGTGTGATCATCTGGGTGAACGGGGCGGCACCGGTAGGTAGAGACTCTGAGTGCACTGTCGGGTAAAAAGGATCCTCTTGTCGTGTATTCTTTGTTTGAAGACCAAGAGTTAGTCCAAAGAAGACCAGGAAGCTTCTTGAAAGTTTAACAGTATTTATTAATGCAATAGTATGATAGGTTTACAAGGGAACACACCTGTGGTTCCTCTATTCAATTCACTGGTCCACAGTCCACTTTAAGCAGTTAGCTGTTGCATGAATAAAAGAGAACGTTTCTCAAAGTCAAAGTCAACTTTATTGACAATCTCAAAATATGTTTGTACACACAGAAAGATCGAAATACTGTTTCCCGCAGTCCCGAGGTATAAAAAACTCACACATTAAAACGCAAGAACACTCAATCATTTACAAAAAACCCACAAAATAACCGTTTACTTCAGTAAGCAGGATATATTAAAAAAAGATGGGAGTGCACAATTGTCCATAGCAGCAGGATATATATAAAAAAGTTTCTCTATCTAACATCGTGTTTTTTATGTGCCCACTCGTATTTAGTCTTCTCCCATTGGCTGACGTGGACGGGTCTTCTTCTGTAGTCCTCTGATGACGTAGCCATGATGTTTGTTGCTCCTTAAACACATCATAGTAGTAATGCAGAGTCGATGAGTGAGAGTTTGATGTGTTTAGTATCTCCACGCGTCATTCTCCTTGTAATCACATACACAATATACTGTTAGCTACATACTACTGTGAGGCTAAAAACAAATAACAACCTGAAACCAGAACTCCAAGGTGTCGCCCACATCCGGTCCGTGGGAAAACGCTGTTATAGTAAATGATGTCCTTTAAAAGATCAACATATTGATTATTTCTCACAGTCTCTCCTCTGTTTTCCAGGTGATCGGCACCATGTCGTGTGTTGGGATGTGGATCCCCAGAGCCACCATGTTCACTGATATGACCTCAGCATGGTGGGTTTCTGTTTCCCTTTGTCTCAGCTTCCAGATCTCACTGAGCTGTGTGTTGCTGTTCACCCACAGAGCCACACATGGGGAACCTGAACCTCATAGCCCGCTGACATTTATAGAAAACAGTGGTGCTGTTGTGCAACGTGTGGGGAAGTTTTGGCTTTTGGCCCTCTCTGAGCTCTAAAACATGTGCTAATTTCTTCTTGTCTTCCCCTCTCACTGACTCATCTACCTATACTCATGTAAACAAGTCATTTAGACAGACTTGTTCCACAGAATTACCCCTGCTAAGCTGTTTACATCGCTAGCAAGAACCAATATGCATGAATAAACCCTGATGCTTGATGTCTTAAACGGAACCTTTTCCAAATGAAGTCATGATGCCCCCATGGTCTACCCTCAATGTCACTGTTATAAGAGTTGCAAAACTTTGAACAAACACACTTTTATTTTTTCACGAGAACGGAAAATAGTACATCACAAATTCTGTAAACAGGACTCATCCCTTAGTGACATTTCTCTGCGTAGTTTCTTCGCCGTAGGGGTGCCAGCCGTGCATACTGCGATTAATATGAAACACAGGATGATGCAAATCCTATGGTTACACCCTTTAGATAATTCAAAAGTCCTCTCTTTCCAAATGCATGTCATTCCTGTGGTGTACCGTCTTCTACAAGGTCTGTAAACAGGCAAGAGAAATATGTGTTGCAAACTTCGTTACTGTAAATGTTTCTGATATCAGTACTTTACTCCGCGACTTTTGACTTTTACTTCTTACATTTTGAACTCAAATACCTGTACTTTCTACTTCTTACATGTTGAACACAAATACCTGTACTTTCTACTTCTCACATGTTGAACACAAATACCTGTACTTTCTACTTCTTACATGTTGAACACAAATACCTGTACTTTCTACTTCTTACATGTTGAACACAAATACCTGTACTTTCTATTTCTCTCATTTTCCAAACAGGCTGGTTCCTTTAGTCTGAATGTGTGTTTGGTGGCGTGGTCATTATTATTTAGAGTCATTGCGTGCCTATTGATTTGAACACGATCCGTGTATCCATCATTTCCTGGTCTTCTCTAAAGAAGAGGGACCAATGAAAACGTTGTCATGTTGCCGTTGTTCAGCATGGAAACATTCATTAGCTAACAATGACATTATTGTTCTATTAATATAAAGGGAGGTCAGGTACTCTTTAAAACAGCTGCTAGTTAGTTAGTTATGGGTACTTTTTACTGAAGTACATTTCAAAGTTCTTTACTTTGACTTGAGTAAAGAAGTTTAGTCAGTACTTCTACTTTCACCAGAGTATGTTTAAACACGAGTATCTGTACTTGAGTAAAGGATGTGTACTTTTGCCATCTCTGTGCAGTTGTAGTGAATGTTCCTGCACGTCTTCTCATTTCTCATCCCCTTCCTCACCACAGCTACTTTGCGGTGGTGGTGTTCAAGTTCCTGATCCTCATGGTGGAGGAGGTGGGGGGGGACGAGGGCTTCCTGAAGCGAGCGGGCAGATATAAACTGAAGATAAGCACCGGGCCGTGCTGCTGCTGCTGCCTCTGCCTGCCTCACGTGGAAATCACACGGTAAACTGAGATATACTGGCATCAATGTTCTGCTTTTCATCAAACTCTGTATCTCTAGCAAGCCCCCGGTGTGAGCTGAGGAGCACATGTTGGTTTAAGCAGCAGCAAGTTGTTGGAGAGTTCCCAACGCACGCTGGGGATTTAGAAATCTGCTCCTGTAGTCTTTTAGGAGATGTTTTGTTATGTGTTGAGTCAGTCAGTACTGTAAATCACACGGTAAACTGAGATATACTGGCATCATAGTGCATTTTTTTTCTTTTTGTTTATTTCAATCATCTGTTAATTAGATTCACATTTTCAATGGTGCAAGAAATCTGTTTAGTGCCAGTATTAGACTTTTTTGCACTACTTTTTATCTTGTATTTTTGTATTTTGTTATATATGTTGCACTGTTGGAGGAGCTCAGATCAAATTCCCTGTCTAACACCTTTTTAAAATACCTGTAAAAATATCTTCCAACAACTGCCATTAATCCAGTTTCTTACCAAAAGCAAAATTGTACAAGTTGAAACACATCAGTACACTGTTATAATTGACCTTTGCCCGATACTCATTTTTATTGAAAAGAGTCTCATCATTTTTGTTTAAGGAGACCGATGTTAGTGGTTAGCCAACAGGACAACCGCTCGACTTATATTTCTTTCTTTGTAATTATCTTTTTATAATGTTCTGCTTACTGCTCTCTGTCTCAGGTGTTTTGGTATCAACTGCTGAGTCAGTCAGTACTGTAAACATGAGATTTATCTTCTAGCTGTCTATTTGGTTTCAAGATCGAGCAGAATGATAACCAAACCCTGGCTTTCCTTAGGGAGTATATTGTAGTCTTCAAATATAGTTCGGGGAAATTCCTTACTCCTAGCCAGGAGTCACATGGGGAGCTTGAAATCACTCTCATGTGTGTCCATTCAGTGAACTGCCAGCAACCCATTAGCTTATCTTAGCAGTACAGCATTTTTCAATTCAATTATTTCAACCTGCTGTGTTTCCCATGAATGCAATTGACTCGCATTGCATGTATCTCCTCGAGTCTCCTTAGTAAACGTTATAACACAATCAACTTTCTGTCTTTTTATCAGTTTGAAACGAGTGTTTGAAGTAACTCGTGCCAGGTTTATTGGAAAGTCGTCATTTGCCTGAATTACAACAGAAAAGTTAGCATTAGCCATAGAGCCACTTGAGCTATATTTTCGAAAATAATACACATAGTAATTATCTTTAAATCAGAGCTATAATACCACGTTGCTGATTGACCAACGTGTTGTTTTCAGGGGTCACAGTCGTGCACTTTGATGTGGTTTTGGTCTGTTTGGAGATTGCCTAAGCTCAGAGATGTGAAGGCAGGTTGACAAACTCCTGGTCGTTCAACTGTTTAAAGACAGGGTCCAGTGTGTATCGTAACAGTGTGTGTTGTCGTGAATAGTTTTTTGAAGTCTATAGCAGGAAAATGAGGTTTAAATATGTGCAATTCTAACCAAAAAAATCAACTTATTGTATGAATAACCTCTTTTTTACTTTACAACTTATTGTACGACATGTGTAAATGACCTGAAGTGATTCATTTATCCTATGATAGGGTCGAAGGACATGACCCAGGATTATTTTTGATGGTATCTACTTATCGTACCTAAATGTTCACGACTTATATTCAATATTAGGAGGTGTGTGGCGCAGTGGGTTGTGCGTTGGTGTTGGGATCAGGGGAGCATAGGTTCAAACCCCACTGCAGTCAGCATGTCGTTGTGTCCCTGAGACACTTCACCCCAAAGTGCTCTTGTGGGGATTGCCCGCAGTATTGAGAATGTAAGTCACTTTGGATAAAAGCGTCTAACATGTCATATGGATCATTATCATAATTGCATATGCCAAACACATGTTCCTATTTACCGTTATGCGCTGCTGAACAGTGAAAATAACACAAAGTTGTTTCTTGTAAACGCTCCTTTTTTCTTGAATGCAGCGCCCAGTTTCCCAGCAGCGGTATGATGCACCAAGAGGGAGTTTTAATGTTGTTGTTGTTGTTGCTTGTAGACAATAGATGTGCCCTGAATTGTTCCTAACATCCTGCGGTAATAATTCAGGATGCTGGCATTGCTGGGTTTTCACATTAGACTTTTCAGGAGTTTTTTGTTATACCTTTGGGGATTAAAAGCATTATCTGTCATCAGCAGCGTCTCTGAAACGTTTCCTCTGTTCGTCCTCCAGGCGCACGCTCTTCCTGCTCAAACTGGGCTCCTTCCAGTTTGCCGTCCTGAAGATTGTCTTCACCATCCTCTCCATTGTGCTGTGGACCAACGGCACCTTCGACCTGTCCGACGTGAGTCTATACCACGGAAAAACTCTCAGTGCTATTCTCATTTATTACAGATTCCCAACTGTTGTTTGCATGTCATTTTCTAGAAGTTGCCCTGCAGCAATTATTACCAAAATCAGATTGCTTTGTTCTTCCCTGAGTGAAATCAGTTTGATTCCATTTTATAATTCAATATTTAAGTAAATGTAAGAAGTAAAAAACGTGCATTAAGAAGAAAAAATGTTATATAAATATATTTATTCTTCGATAGGTAAAAATACATTTGCAAAACTGTGTATATTTAAATATATAAAGTGGTGTATAAGTATTTAACACTTGCCCAAAACCTTTTTATATCTTGTGCAAAATAATTCAATAAATACATTATTAATATGGATATTAAACATCGTTATCAGTCCTTCGAGGATTCACTCGTCTTAAGCAATGATAATTATCCTCTCTGTCTCTAATTAATTAATTAACATGCTTAATTAAATTGTAACTAATTATGCGTTTGAGTCATGATGATTTAATGGGTTCATGTGTTGGTAATTCATGTTCCTCACTACTCGAGACATTATGAGCTTGTGTGATTGGTTAATGCTCTGTCTTTACTTTCGTTGACGAAAAATGAGGAGATGAAATATTATCAAAGATAACGTTACATCTCTGATAGTCACTGGGTGTTTGTCAATCGCGAGGATGCTGGTTTGGTAGTCGCGTAATTCCAAGTCACTTCCTTCAGAAACGAAGCAAGTATACTTCCAAGCCACGGCTTCGGAAAACGAAGAAGAATGGAACAGGCTAACAAGTGTGCCACTCTCTCTAACGGTTTCAACATAAACTGTATCGAAAATAAATACCTCACGATGTCTATCTAATTATGAACTTGCTTTACTATCACGGAACACATTTTTGGTGATAATAAATGTAAGAAAGTAACATATTTACCAACACATGTTCTACGCCACTACATACTTACATTTAAATGTGTGCTGCGTCGGTTCAGCCATTCTCCGCAAGGGTTTTTGAAATTGGTCTGTGCGCAAAGCATTGTTGGGGATTTTAAGGACGCGAAGTCTACCCATGTGCAGCCTCGAAATTACCCCCAAACCAAGGACGCGGCCTCGGTGGAATTCCGAGTATGCTGGACATTGGAACGGTCCTGCTGCGCCACTTGATGACGTAGCATCCTTGAAATATTGGCTTGGATGCCAGTATCCTCGAGATTGAGAAACGTCCAGTTTTTCTCCCAGCAGTTCCATTTCCGGTGCTGTGGCTGGGCAGCAGGGTTATGGCTAGAAAGGATCCGTCTTGTGTAAGACTCTCACGAGAGTTTGCAAGTCACGTGGCTGAATGTTTACATTTAGCAGGCAGCCTTTCAGTTACGATCGTTAACATCAGTGGTCCACAGCAAATGATGGTGAGAAGCTAAACTATCTATTAATGATGTCAATTAAAGGGAGTNTACGTACGTACGTACGTACGTACGTACGTACGTACGTACGTACGTACGTACGTAACGTAACGTACGTACGTACGTACGTACGTTACGTTCGTCGTCGTACGTACGTACGTACGTACGTACGTACGTACGTACGTACGTACGTACGTACGTACGTACGTACGTACGTACGTACGTACGTACGTACGTACGTAGTACGTACGTACGTACGTACGTACGTACGTACGTACGTAGTAGTTAGTTAGTTACGTTAGTTAGTAGTAGTAGTAGTGTGTGTGTGTGTGTGTGTGTGTGTGTGTGTGTGTGTGTGTGTGTGTGTGTGTGTGTGTGTGTGTGTGTGTGTGTGTGTGTGTGTGTGTGTGTGTGTGTGTGTGTGTGTGTGTGTGTGTGTGTGTGTGTGTGTGTGTGTGTGTGTGTGTGTGTGTGTGTGTGTGTGTAGCTGGTGCTGATCTTGAGCCAGCTGCAGACAGCCATCATCAACATCTTGGCGTTGAACGGCACCATCGCCTGCACTCCGCCCTTCTCCGCCACGTCCAGAGGATACAGTGAGTCAACACGGAGAAACGCATGCATTCAAATCAATAAAGCATTCAAATGTTATTATAAGTATCTGAAAACATCTGTAGTTTCATTTAGTCACTTGTGAGCAATCAGTTGTTTTAGGGGGAGGCACTACAGGCTTCAATAGGGTGAAGGTTTTAAGACCAGATGTGTGAAATAGGAATTTTGACATATTTTAGTGATAAAATGCTCTATAAATCAGTTTTATTAAATGTTATGTTTAAATATTATTTGGAGGTATTATGTAATGCTGACTTTTGGGGGATTTAGGAGTAACCTACAGACACAGATAGACCGAGTTATGTAAAACAAGACATAATATTGAAGATAGACTCGAATGAAAAGGCCTGAAGTGACACTTAAACGCTTAAAAATGTACAATTGATTAATTTACTGACGTATTTTCTGTTGTAAAACAGCTTGTGTTAATCACAGACCTTATTTCAAGGAACCAATTACGTTTTGAGACAAATGTGTGACAAAGTGCTGACTCATGTCTCTCCTCAGTGATGAGTCAGCAGCTTTTGGTCCTGGAGATGTTCCTCATCACGCTGGTGACGCGGCTGCTTTACCGCCGACAGTACGACCCGTTACCGGACGAGCAGAGAGAAATCAACGAAAACACCAAGATGGTGGCAGTACACGGGTCTGCATGAGGAGTGTGTGTGTGTGTGTGTGTGGTATGTGTGTGTGTGGTATGTGTGTGTGTGTTTTATGACCTGCAAGTGTTTGGTTAAGAGATTATATAAGTCAATAAAGATACATGTTTATGAATTATATGTAAATTAATCTTGAGTGTGTTCATTAAAATTCAAGCTTTGTACAAAACTGATTGATTGACTGCTCACACAAATCACACCCCAGCAGTTATATTTGTTCCCATTTTTGTCATTTCAATTAGATTTTTACCAAAAAAAGAGACGATGCATTTATACATTATTGACATTTACATGTTCATAATTGTCCTGGAGAAGAAACGGTGGTAAAAAGTGCAACTGAAGTGACTGCTCAGTTAAAACTAAACATTGTTTTATTTATTATTTATAAGTAGAAATTTAGATTTTTCTCTGTATGTGTGTGTGACTATTCTCTTCAGGCTACTTTATGAACATTGACCAAAAGAGTGTGTAAGTATTAATAACAAATCGAAGTATAAATTACGTTCTAGGAAATCACAAGAAATGATAGGAACCCAAACATAATGTGAAACCCACAACTTATTTATACCTGTCTTCCTGTGAGTCGTAAATGAAATACATTGAATTTGTATCTTGTATTTTCAGCATTTTACACTGCATGCCTCTCTGCGGTGTCATTCATATTTTCAGTTTCACACACTCACCGCTAGGGGGCAGTAAGAACCTAAATCTGGAGGACACCTGCTTATCATGAGCTGCCCATGTTTACGACCAGAGGCTGTCTTGTACTGGAACTGTTTGTACAATTAATATTAACATATTCAATATTTATTAAGTCACCGCAGACATACAGTACATATTCATCATGTCTGGGAGGAAGTACAACTTCACACACACTATTCCAATCATAAACAAGCATAGCTTATTGGTAATTGTTGAATTGCTTCAAATCTGTTTTTTAAATATAAAATTTGGGAATTCAAATCGTTCAATTGTGAATGAAAATGATTGTATTTATTTTTATTTTTAATAATGTTGACGTTGTGAAGGTGTCTCGTTTCGGTAATTGTGATGGCATTTCTGACTAATAATAGTATTTTTTTTTACAAACTTTACAATAAAAGCATAAAATAAAGAACAAGTGTATCTAGGTATATGTTTATTGTAATATTTATTGAGTTACTTATAAGTCATGAGACCTCAACCAACATAATAATACTACTTACACAAGTCATAATAATCTAACAAAATAAGATATTTTAATAGTATTTCCCTACATTTACCTACATACTTTCAGTGTAGTAAATAACCTAAATATATCATAATAATCCATACCTGCCTTAATACTCTTACAGGTAGTTGCCATGACAATAGCCTTCCTACCATGCAATGGGACATTTTGCATCAGTCAACCAGTTTTAAGCCAGTCACCAAATCACATGTGTAATGTAAACAGACGGTGGAAATAACCTGCTGTATTACGGTAAGAGGCTGCAGATAAACAAGGCAACGTAAACACGGTGATTGACAGGCAGCAGGTCCAATAGAGTCATCGCTTTCACCCACTTCCTGATTTTTAGCCAATCACCGCAGTGCATCAACAAGCCAGAGTCAAGTGCGGTTGAATCTGGTTCAACTGTCAAGCTGATGCAAAAAAAGGGAACTCTGAAGAATGTTCCTTCAAAATAAAATAGAATCTAAGATATCTGTAGTGGTTCTATCAGTGGTTTTCAAACTGTGGGGAGTGACCCCTGGTGGGTCGCGGAGGTACTGCAGGGCGGGCGCGGGAAGATTTTTTTATTTGATTATTTTCTCCTTTTAGCTTTGTGAAGCACCTTGAGATGACGTTGTGCTGTCCATTAGTTCCTCCAGCCTGTTGTTTTATTTTGAAAAACTGTAACAGGAAGTCGACCTTTGATCACGTCTAGCATGAAGATGTTGTCATGGACTGAATGTTCAACGATATAGATCCAGGAATCCTTCTTTGCAACATATCGTCGGTGTGTTTCTGCTCCCTTATGGACATTAATTCTCACCCTCCTCTCTGCTGTCTGTCCTCCGGTGGCCCGCGGGCCGGGAGCCTCTGTGACGCAGGAGAGAGCAGGACTTTCCGGGTTCTGCTGTCAATACTAACGGGGATGAGATGTGTGTGTTCTGAATTTCATTCTGAGGCATCATCGTTAAATTAAACTTGCACAATGAGGATCTTCGTGTCTCTGCTGAAAAGCACCAACCCTAAAATCGAGTTTTACTCCAGGTTCTCCCCCTCCCCTCTCTCCATTAAGCAGTTTCTGGATTTTGGTGAGTTTCATCTTTAAGACTTGATGATATCAGGGGCCTTGCATTCTTTCATTGTGTTTATTCATTGCATTTTGTAGCATTACACTTTGTTATGGTGTCATCTATCTGCACAAACAGCACTGTGCATGATGAAGGCTCCGCAGGTGTTTACTATGTGGACACGTGACTCTCTGCTTAATTAATAGAGATGTTGGTCTGCAGTGAAGGACTACTTACATGGGTTTTTTAAACTGCAAGATTTACAAGATGTAGTGTCAAAGTGAAAGCAATGAAGCAATGCACCTTACAACATACTTACATACAATAGTGCAAGTGACACAATGGTGCAAATAAGTTACTCATGTTTGCCAGTAACAGGAAGTACTTATTTGTACCTTTTTTATTTTACATGTTATGCTACAGTACTTCATACTTCATCTTAACTTCATTTAATGATAACTTAATTTCATTTACAGATTCAGGTATTCAAATGATACAATACATTAGGTGTATTATTACAGCTTTAGATAGCAGTATGTACCAGCTGTAATATAATAGTTATAAACACAATTTAATCCAATAATATATAAGGTATTATTCTGATATGCACCCTTTTGCATACGGAGTGAAGTTACTTTAGTAGTATACAAAAAAAAAATATTTCTTTAATATTTAATGTGTACTTTTACTTCAGTCAGCTTTTGAGTGCAGCAGTTTTGACTGTGGTTTTGCTTCTGCTGATGTCTTTACTTTCAGGTTGATGTCGATCTTTAGATGCTGTTTTCAGGACTTGATTAATTGAAGTTTTGTATTACACAAATTAAAGTTCCTAGAAGGCTCTTTCTAAGTACCTGCACTCAGTGTTTGTCCTCTCTCTGCATGAGTCAATAATAACTTAACGATGAGACTTGAAATGTGAGATGACAGCGCTGTAAGCAACACTCGAGGCTTTGTGTGTGTGTGTGTGTGTGTGTGTGTGTGTGTGTGTGTGTGTGTGTGTGTGTGTGTGTGTGTGTGTGTGTGTGTGTGTGTGTGTGTGTGTGTGTGTGTAGTGTAGTAGTGGTAGTGTTGTGTAGTAGTAGTAGTAGTAG